GTGTCAACAAGTTAACTAACGATGTTTCCAGTTTTATGCATCAGGTGGTTGGTTCTTCTCTGGTTCAGGTTCTTAGCTGTTTCGTTTCTTTGCCTATAGACAGTTTTGGCTAGCTGTTCCACTTCTGGCCTTTCTTTCTGGCTCTTCTCTCTCTGATAAAGAACACACACTTTAGTTGCTTCATCCTTTTCTGTTTACTCTGCTCATAACTCAGATATGCATCTTTCTTTCTCATTTGCTTGTGTTGCATATCATAATGACTCTTGAGTTCTTTTACTTTATGAGCTTCCTTCTGTCCTACCTTCACATGGGTCATAGTCTTCCTTGTCCTCGTGACTCATTTTGTGTGGCGTAAAGTTGTGAATATTTAATATTTTTTTAATCTCAGTCTCTTATGTTCCTTCTATTTCTTGGGGAGCTTTTCTTTCTCTTTTTTTACTCTTTCTATCCTACAATTTGCTCATCTTGTTTTTACTATTCACACTATGGCTCTTCATTGTGACCCCTTTTGTTTTAATGGGGCTACCTATTCATATTTGTTTGCCCCTTTTGGCTTCTGTTTCGTCTTCTACTCTCTTTGATTCTCTGTTCTTCAGATCTCCTTGGTCTGGATGCTTTTCTTTCAGGTGTGTACTTCATTTCCCCCTCTCTCCTTGACCCAAGTCTTGCCCCTATTCTCATTGCACAAATGTTTGGAGAGTTTATCTCAAGTTTTTGGCTTCTCAGGCTGGGGCCACTCTCCAGCAATCTTCCTAGCTTAAGGACTAACTAGACCATGGATACCTTTATTGGTTACCCAACCTTGAGAGTACTGTTTTTTTGTCTTATCACTTGTACTTACCATTCCCTCTTCCACTGGGCAGGCCATCAGGACATTTGACCCTGGAACCTTTGGTGCCTGCCTATTCCCTCTTGCACACCCATAGTCTTGCTACAGTGATTAACATTGGGTTGTGCAAGTTCTTTCTTCAGGTTTGTTCCTACTTTTCATCTTCCACATCCTCTTTCTCTTCATCCTATAACCTGTCCTTTTTCCTAATTCCTCTGCATTTTCGACATCTTCCTGGGAGTTTTCTTGAATCTTCTACAGGGTGGGCTCAACCATCTCCCTAGCATCGTAATGCCATGGAGATCTTGGTATTGAAGGATCTTCACTCTCATGAGTGAGAGATTCTCTTGCTTTTGAAGTCTCTGGCTTCTCTCTACACATGCATTTTCAATGGGCTTTGGAAGATCTATAGCACATGTTCTGTGATCTATTATTTGCACTTCTGCCATTACATTAATCATTTCCTCATATCTGTTGTGAGGGATCAGTTGCTCCAACATGACCTGTGGTATTTCACCATATTCTTCCTCTACCCAATTTTTATCTTTACTGTGACTTCTTTCTTTCCAGATGGGGAGGCAGTTCTCAATGCCTCCACAATATCCATGGTATGGTCTCTAGTGGAGCAATCTCTGCTTATCAATATTCTGGAGTTGTCTGCAACTTTTTGGACTTGCCAGAGTCTTTGGTTGTATCTTATGATGATCCATTTTGATGTTTCTGTGGTTGTTTCTTTTGGGACCTATGCTTTACCTGGTTTTTGTCATAGACCCACCCATTTCAATGATTGCTGGTTTCTGAGTTGTTTTGTCCACACCTCTTGCTTTTTGTCTGGCACTATTCTATTTTGGCTATTTTTCCCTCTACTTACTTGCTGTCATCTTCATTTAGACATTCACACCTTCATCTCCTTCCATTCTCTGTATCATCAGGACCTGTTGATTTGTTCCCTGACAACACCTTTCTTCCAAAGACTTGGACTTTTCAGGAGGATGACCAGTTGTTTTTTTTCTCTTATCTCTCTCCCTTGTATTTCCTCATTATACAATCATTTCAGTCCTTATTGTCTTTTAGGTTCTGTTAAGACTATCCATTACTATCACACTCAGGCAACCACTTTTTGTGGACACCACCATTACCTGTTTTTTACATGACTTACCTCTAGAGACTTATTTCCTTCCACTTTAACCATTTGGGTTCATCAGCTCGTTCTTCTAACATATTTCTTTTTGGGTGAGTCTGACTGATTACTTTTTAAGGTCAACTCCCATCAGATTAGGTATATCATAATCTCTCGTCTCCTTTCAATGTCAACCTTTGATAGTGATGTTGAAGGCTAGTATATGGAATTCTAACACATTCGTATTCCATTACTTACACCACTTGACAGTTTCATGTGCCTCTGATTTTTGCCTCCCTTTGTTTTACCATTCTCCAGTCTATACAGAGACTCTAGTGTGTGAGTTTTGCCTGTTGATTTTCTTTTGCAGCTTCTTTGTTGATCTAGTTTGATAACCATGTCCCTCACATACTTAATGACACCACTGAATGTATATTATTTTTTTTTCATACACATTCATAAACAAATATTGGACAAAGGATACTGTCTCCTATTGAGTTTTTCTTTACTAAGCAAGCACACTGGTCTTGTGGAAGTCAAACCTCATGGGTTTTTCTATCTCTATTTCTGAAATGAACTCATTGTTCAACACTAGCCCCTCCACTAGAGAGATAAAGAGGTCAGTAGCATTTCTGAAATTTACATTTTCAGGTACAGAAAATGTATTTTAGGTAGACATTTACCTCTCTTCACCACCTTCCCACCTCATTTCTGGTGCATTTCCTTAGCCTCATCAAGAATGATTCTATGATCATGTTCTAGTACACAGAGGGATTACTGTGAATGGAGCATGTTACCCTTTTTGGTGAAGGCTAAAACATTATGGCGATTGCGTTATAGGCTGTCACAATACACATAGACATGTGTTGGGTGGTATAATTTGATCAAGGTTTGTGGCATGTGCACGAAATTCCATGGTAGTTATGTGAAAAAAAATAATAGCTCTTAGTGGAGCAGAGAAGAAAGTTTCATCGTTTTAAGTTTTTGAAGGTTATTATAAGATGCTTTGTTATTATCAGAGTAAGCTAAGGAAAGAAATCTGTTTATTTCAACACTCAGAAAGAGTTTCTTTTTTAAATGTCTTTAGGTTTTTTAAAATATATTTTCCTATACTCAGGGTGAGCTAAGTAAAAAAACGTGCTTGTTTTAATACTCAGAAAGTGTTTCTCTTTTAACTTTTTGTGGTGGATGTGTGGGATTGATAACTCAAACTTGATCAAGCTACCTCATGCATTATGCATCAAATAATTATTAACTATACATCACTGTACTCACTTGCTCAGTAATCAAACTATTGCAGTGATGGAATAGCATTATTTTTTTATATTTTGAACCTTTAAACATTGATGCTTGTGCAGTATGAAATACTCTTAATTTCTTGGGTGATTGAATAACACACTTATTATATAATTATGCAAGTGACAGCTTCATTCTACAATCCTGATATTTTTCAAGTTAAGAATCATAATCCGACATTTGTTGGGTAAATAAAACTGCGTGTAAACAAGATAAATGCATGATTACAAACAGTTACTGATTGATATACATAGTTTTAACAAATGAACTACATGATCAACAAACAAAGAATGTGAATCCATGCATTTTAGGACCAACCATTTTGTGTTTACAGGGTCAATTTTTTAGTCAAATATATCTTCACTATCTTTGTCATCAAGTATATTCTGCATTGAATCATTTTCTTTGGCATCCATCATGTTGGTGCAGTCTTAAAGCCTGCACTCCTCTGTGCACTTTAGTCCATTAGACAAGCACTGACATCTGGGGAGTTGATAAGTACAAGGTCTTTTGTAGGATAAGAATTCCAAGATGACTTGAGGAGTAGGAGAGCTAGTCATCCATTTGATACCAATCTTGCCATCCTCTCCTACTGTCCAGGATGGCACATCTGGGGAGTTGATAGGTACAAGGTCTTTTGTAGGATAAGAATTCCAAGATGACTTGAGGAGTAGGAGAGCTAGTCATCCATTTGATACCAATCTTACCATCCTCTCCTACTGTCCAGGATGGCACATCTGGAGTTGCTACTAGACTACATCTCAATATAGTGCTTTGGTAATTGGCTCTCAGAGCATGTTGGTAAAGATTATCTTCCCATGTCTTGATTTCTTTGTGAACCATGGAGTTCATTTACGTGTCAGGTATGAGTATAACCAGTGTGCAATCTACATGTATTCTCCTGGAGGATTGTAAAAAGGTCATGTGGCAAGTGTCACATGCTTCTGTGATGACACCTGCTTCTCAAGATGCCTCTCCTGTGCCTCTATGTTTTCTTTAAAGTTCTGTCATAATTTGTTGACTAGGGTCTCAGTGGGTTTTGTAGTACCCTTTCCACGTTAAGTTTTCTACCACTGCCTATCAGTAGCATTCTACTGAATAAATAACGATCTGCTTTGAGGATGGTTTTCTTCTTGGAGGATTTAGTACTTCTGTTTACCCACAGACTATTGAAGAAGTTTAATTTCATTTGAGTTGTACCAGATTCACTAATGGTTTCTTTCTTTGTCTGTGTTGTCATATGCTAACACAGCTAGAACTACAGAGTACTTATTTGTCATTTGTATTGCATCACTACAACATCATCTTCCTGCACTTGCAATTTTTGAAGACATAATGTGGTGTCTATTTCATCCAGTTCTTAATTTGAAATCTCATGTCCTAGATGGTTCAGGATTTTTATGATCTCAACATTTCCAGTGAACCTCTTTTTTGGCCAGGGTAATAAAATATGCTTTGTCTACTTGTTTCACTGTTGCATCATAGATGAGGTCTTGGGAAAATAATCACACTAACTTCTGTACACCAGTTGTTTGATTAAAAGCTTTTGTATTGCCAGTCAGCAGAATTGTTAGAAATTCTCTGGAGATGTATACATATTTGTCATCTAGTTCACTGGGACAAAGTGGCCAAGACTGCTCATTGTGTGCTTCCTTTATTTCATTCTGTAGATGTAATGCTGCTATGGAAAGCAATTTCTCCATTTTATCATCATTTCTAGTATACATATGTATCTTCTCCTTCATTCTCATACAGTCTTGGGCTAGGTCTGTTTTAGAAAGATTGTCAGAAGCTTGCTCTTTTCACTGGAGAATAGATGGAGACTTGCACCAAACTTGCCAACCAGCTTATGATTATGTACTTTTTGTGTCTGGTTTGATTTCAGTTACACCTAGAGGATACATGTAAGACAAGTTTTTCAGTAAGGTCTGTCATGTTTGCAACATGTGGTCTTCCAATGAGGTCTGTCCTGATGTGGTCAAACATACTGTAGTCTGATGACTGTGACACTGCATATGACTTTGCATCTCCTTCTTCCTCAGTGCAACCTTTGGCTGTTGGTTGTGTAATTAATATAATATGATTTATGGTAGTGCACTTCAGCAACTACTATATCATATGGCCAAAATCATTTAACCATCTTCATCTCTTCCTCAGTCCACACATTTGTTCCTATTCTTGCTACTGCATCTTGAAGAGTGTTATATGCATGCAAGTCCACATGTTAGAGTAGTTTCTCATGGGTGTGAATTCCTTTTACATATTTGCTGCATTTGTCACAAAACATACACTTGGCAGAATAAACAGTTAACTCATGCATTGGAGTTTGGGATTAGGGCCAGAAGTTCTGCACAGGCACTTTTGAGGCTTTCAGTTTCTCCAAAGACTTCTTATGCATGAAGTTGTTGCTATATTTCTGCTCATATCATATATTAGAAATCCCCTCAGTGATCAATCTTTATTGCAGAATTGGAGCAGAGTCTCGTATTCTTGCAGCTTTAAGAGTGTATGCTATGACTTAATCTCCATAGGCTTTGTCAGGTTACTAGTTGTCACATAGTGAATGCATGTCAGTTTTTGGTCCTTAGGCTAGTTTTGGCAGCAAAGTTGGTTCGTAGTCAGTTTCCACTGATTCTATGGTTGACTCTATTCACTCAATCACAGGCTTGAAATGGCTAAAAATGTCACCCTTATTATTTGCACTTCCGGTATTTAAGTTATCTAACCTATTGTCATAATCCTTTTAAATCACTAAGGACTTCAGTGTTAATGGATCTACTGGTATTGTGTATGTTTATAATAAATAATAATAAAAGGAGAATTCAGATTCTCTTCAACAGGGATCTGGAGCAGGGCCAGCTACAAGAGGGTGTGGGTCTTACGCCAGCCCTTGTCTGGAGCTTTGTTAGTTTCGAAACAGACTTACCTCCTCTCACACAAAAGGCTATCTTGATCATTGACTGCTCACTAAGCATTGCTAGAAGAACTTTAGTAATCAGTCTTTATCTTTATACTCCACCAGTTGTCATTTCTGAACATGTACACATGTGACTACTTTTGCACTATCTAAAACAGCACAACTAGCTCCCTCTGCTATTCCTGCTTAATCATCACTTTTTCAATTGGCATGACACAGTTTAGACATGTGTTTAATTTTTCCAAGTGGGACTACAGTCTTTGATTGTGCTTTGTTACCTTTTAAGTCAAAGTTTAATCTCACAATTTTTTTAACTTTTGTGTTTGTTTCCAATTGTTTCAATTAAATTCTCATTTCCTAATTCTATGTTTTTAATGTGAATTTGAGATTTAATGCGGTGGACAATGATATTCCCACCACAGATGATAAAGCACATGGCATGACTTTGCAGTACATGGGATCCACTTTATCTGCTGAGGAAGCTCAAGCCTTGGTTCACGGGGAGTTAAAATTTTACGTTCGGCCGGCGATTTCCCCTCCTTGTCCAGCTGAACATGTTTCTGAGGAGACCTACCACCACAAGGAAGAAAATTTGGACTCTGTTTTTCTTGCAACTTCTTTTTTTGTTCTTTTACAGTCTACACCCATTCAGGACATTTCAAATCCCACTCTCTTCTTACAACTTGCCATTCAGGTATTCCATGTTTTAGGTGTTTCCTCTGTAGCCTATGATTCTTCCTCTGCCTTATTGAGTGAAAGTCCACTTTCTTATTATTATGTTTTCCTCCTTCTCCCGACATTAGTGTTCTTTCTCAGAAATTTTCTGATCAATTACAGTTGGGTATAGGCATGCACCGTTCCCCCTTGTTTGTTGGATCAATATGCCTTGGCTTATCAGTTGGGTCTTTATGTGGATGACTGGCTCCTGCTCACCTATTTCCATTCACAATCAGTGAATCACACATGTGCTTGTACGGGAAGCAGCACGGGTTGATTTTCTTATCAAGTTGGAGAAGGCTTTTCATACCCCCACTCAATACCTGATTCATTTGGGGGTTTTCTTCAATTCACATTTCAGTCATGCCAAGCCTTCTTTTTGTCTCAGGGATATAGAATGGGCAGTCACAAAGGCCCTTACATCTCTTTCTCTTACGACTCCAGAGGTTTTATCTCTTTTGAGGATGTGGGCTTCCTTGGAAGGTCTCATTCCTATGGGTTGAGCTCATATGTATTCACTTCAGTGGACCCTTCTCGGTCAGTGGAACTTCTCCCTGCATCCCTTGAACCATCCTGTTACCCTTCCTTCTGTGATGAGGGCAGACCTAGTTTGGTGGCTCGACAGGGATCAGACCATAGTGGGGGGTTTTCATTCCTCCACCTCGTCCAGAGTTATGTCTGTTCATGGATGCATCTTTTGTGGGGTGGGAGCTTTCTTCAACTCTCAAGAGCTTTCCAGTCTGTGGCCTGTAGAGGAGTCTGCACTTCACATCAATATACCCGAGCTTTTGGCAGTCCATTGGGCTTTGGTTCATTTCCTTCAACTCATGCAGGGGTGGGTGGTTATGGTCCACTCTGACAATTCCATGGTCATCAATTATATCACCAAGCAAGGTGGAACAAAATCCAGATCTCTGTGTTTTCAGACTCTGAATCTTCTTTTCTTAGCTCATGATCACAACATAGCAGTGTTAATTTGCCATGTTCCTGGAGCCATGAATCTGGTTGCAGATTGTTTATCTTCTCCCCAGGTAGTGGGCCCTTCATTCACATGTTTTTTGGTAGGTGTGTTCTCAACTGGGACATTGCTTATCAATGCCTTTGCCACATACTGGAATACCAAACTTCCTTCCTTTTGGCCTCCCATTTCACACCCCTCAGCTTTGGGTGTAAATCATTCAGTAAAGATTGGATGGATCCTCTCATCTATGCTTACCTATCCAAACTTCTATCCCTCATTCAGACCACTTATTGTCTCATTTTGCTGGTCGCTCCATATTGGCCTGTACAGCCTTGGTTCGCTCTGCTTTGGCCATTACTTGTGCAATGTCCCCTACCTTACCTTTGTCTCAGGTTCTCCTCTGTCAACCTTGATCAGATGTAGTTCATACTGACATGACCTGGCATGGCCAGGTGGTTAGGGCATTCACCTCGCAATCTGAGGGTCGCAGGTTCGAATCCCCATACCACCAAACATGCTCGCCCTTTCAGCCATGGGGATCTTATTATGTGATGGTCAATCCCACTAATTGTTGGTAAAAGAGTAGCCCAAGAGTTGGCAGTGGGTGGTGTTGACTAGCTGCCTTCCCTCTAGTCTTACACTACTAAATTAAGGACTACTAGCACAGATAGCCCTCGTGTAGTTTTGCACGAAATTCAAAAACAAATAAACAAACACCACCAAACTCCATCTTCATGCTTGGCTTTTATCCAGTTCCTTGTCTCAGCAAGGGACTGACTCCTCGTGTAACATCTTTTCTTTCCTGAACCATCATCATTGATCATTTACCAATAGCATTGGTCTACCTTCCGACATTGGTCTCTACACCATGGTTTCCATCCCTCCTTTCCTTCTGTTCCTCAGCTTTCCCAGTTCTTCTCCTGATTATTTGACCAGGGCTTGTCCATTTCAACTGTGTCTAGTTATTGGGCAGCCCAATCAAACATCATCGGTTCTTCCCAGTTCCATAACATTTTCTTCTCCCCTGTCATTTCCCTTTTTTTCTGTTCCTTTTGTATTGGTTGTCCTCCACATCCCTTTGTTGTATCAGATTGGGATCTTAATTGGGATCTTTCTCTTTCTTCCTTTGAACCACTTGCTATATTTATGAGATTTATGTAGCCCGGGAAGGTGGTTTGTCTTTCTCATCCCATATCTTTACCTTCGATTTCCAACCAGTTCTTATCCAAATAGGCTTCTCTGTCTGGTTCGATCATTGAGGTGTTTTGTGGCTCATACTGCCTCCTTTTGGGGTTCATGTTCCCTACTGTTTATTCCTTGGAACTCGTGTTTCCCATGATCTGTCTCCAGTAACTCACTGGTTGGGTACGTCAACTCATCAGGATGGCATATTTGGACTTGTCCATGGAAAGTCACCAACTTCACAATTTCTCTTCACATCAAATTTGTGAAATTATCATGTCTTTAGCTGCTTGCCATTACCTTCCTTTGGAAGAAATTGTCAAGGCTGGTATGTGGATAACTCCCAATACCTTTGTTGCTCATTATCTGTTTCTTCCTCTGGTGAATATCATCTTTCTTCTGTGGCAGTTCTGCATACATCCATTTGCCGTTAACTTGGATAAGTCTGCTCATTTCTTTTATGCTTTCTTTTCAGCTTCACCCTTCCCTAAGCTCCTTTATGGACCCCACATAGTGGCAGGTGTTACATGGTCAGGTATGCTTTGTCTAAAACCTGCACTAAATGCAGTAACTATATAATTATCACAGTTGAGGTGGGGTGTTTCTATAAAGCCACTGGGTGCTTTCCTAATAGTGTATATGTATATCTATGTATTATAATCATATCTTTAGTGGACCATCACTCAGTGACTTCATGAGTAAAACAGAAGGGGATTTCTGCCTTTCTCTGCTGAGCATTTGATTCCTTAATCAGGTTCGGTCTGCTTTTCAAAATAGGGAAATGTAGTCACTCATTGTCCTGCCTCCTGTGTGACATTCATTTGGACTCTCCACCACCTTTTTACTCCCATTTACTTTGAGTGGAGCATGGAAGTCCTTACCACTCTCAGTTTTTATTTGCTAGGGTGGTGAACCATGGAGGCTTCCTCCTGAGTGTTACTGTACTTATGCTCATTTATCCACTAAGAAGAAGAGGATGAAGCTGGTTCCCTATTGGCACTTCCCCTGGATGTTTTCTGCCTGGGTGGACTGCATTCAGTAAAACCAATGATCAAATTTTATTTGGGGCCAGCCTACATGGGATCGTCCTTGTAATACCGGGTTCAGGATGCAACACCCTGTTCCTATGGCTATGTGCAGTAGATGCCTCTCTTCTTGTTCCGGCCCGGCATGGCTAGGTGGTTAGGGAGCCCAACTCGCAATCTGCGGGTTCAAATTCCCGTCCCACCAAACATGCTCACTCTTTCAACCGTGGGGTGTTATAATGTAATGTAATGGTCAATCCCACTATTCATTGGTAAAAGAGTAGTCTTCTAGTCTTACACTGCTAAATTAGGGACGGCTAGTGCAGAGAGCCCTCGTGTAGCTTTGAGCGAAATTAAAAAACAAACAAACAAACAATCTCTTCTTGTTCATTCCATTTGCAGAAGGGTTTTTTTCCTGCTTCTGTGGTTGGGTTTGAGAAACTTTGTCTCCTTCATAATACCAGCAACGGGACATCCACGCTCTCTATGGTTAGGTGAATGCTGCTTGTCCTCCTCATAATTCTGGATACAGGATGTCTCTACCCTGCATTTATGGTTGAGTGAGGTATGATTTTGCTTGTTGTACTGGTTACAGCTTTCCCTGTTCTTACGGTTGAGTCAAGGCCCTGTAATGTCGGGTTAGGTTTGTTGTACTTCTTGCTCCCACAGTGGTTTTGGGAGTTTGCCCAGTTACAACCATTTACTCACTTCTTCTTAGTAATTAGTTATTTATGATTGCTTGACATACAACACTGTTTACTTATGGTTGGGTTGTTGGGTATAGATAACATATTCCACCTGCTTTAGCCATCTGTTAGTATTACATTTTGTATCTCGCTATATGCTGATACAGCTTGCACCTTCTTAATGGTCTTACAATTGTGCAAGCATTACCTTTTCCACCCATTTTATGTTACATTCCTAATTCCTGGACGAAGAGCATATCTGTTCCAAAAGTAGTGCGGTACCCAACAGGTATGTTTCATTTTCATCTCCGAGCATACTCGTTCATTCTTGGCAGTCACTTTGTTCTTTGTGCACCTCCACCAGCCCTCCATCTTTGCAATGTAGAATTCTAGCCTTTTGTATGAGTAGAGGTAGGTCCATTTTGGAAGTTAACATTTTCTTACACAGAAAATCTATTTCCAATAGGTACTTACCTCCTCCCACATGCTTCCCCCACTAAAACCATTGTTTTTATTCTAGTACCTGCTTGTTCTTGAAAGTGAGGATTGAGCGGAAATAGCAGAGGTAATTAGTTGTACTGATATAGGTGGTGCAATACTATTGGTGGAGAGTAGTCACATGATATGTACATGTTCAGAAATGGTGCAAAACTGGTAGTGTATAAAGACTGGTGTGCTGATTACTAAAATTCTTTTAGCAGTTTTTAGAGTCAATGATTGAGATAGCCTTTTAGTGTAAAAAATAGTTAACTTTGGTGATGTGACCCTTGCTGCCTCATTGCAGACTCAAAGACACTTAAATCCCCTTTCTTCTTTCTTGTCTGTGGCCTGTCTCTATAATAATGAGTCCACTAGAATAATACAGACAGGTAAAGAGTTTCTAATTACTGACAACACTAAACATACACACACACACACTTGAACCTTTATGCGTATACAGGTAGAAACATCAAACATGGGTAGATAGGTAAAGCTACTCATTTGGAATCTCCAGCATGCATTTCTGGCATTGGTTTACCATCCTTGTTCCCCCCTTTTGGTACCACCAATTCTGCCTGGCCGATGAACTATTATATTTTCTTTTTATACTCAGGGTGAGCTAAGTGAAGAGAACTGCTTGTTTCAAAACTCAAAACATCTCCTTTTTAGATTTTTGTAAATTTGCTACTAGAAATTTTCTTATACTCAGGGTGAGCTAAGTAAAAGAATATTACTTGTTCAAGAATTCTGTGTACCCCCTGCACCACAGAAAGCTATTACCTTGTGTGCACTGGAGTGTAATTTTCTGCATGTCCTAAGCCTTGAACAAACTTCTCATCATTTCATGTGCCATTTTATGATGCTATCGTCATTAGACTATATCCCTCTACCAATTGATAGGCAACACATCCTCCATGCACAGAAATCTCTGTGAGCCCTATCATTTGAACATACTCTTTTCTTTTCTCATCAATGCTTGTCTTTAGAACATGTTTATTTTTTCTTAAGACTTACCATAATTTTTGTGCTTATTCTTTTTTGTCTTTTGTTACTATTCATTGTGTAGTCTTTCTTTCCTTAAGTGAAACAATGATAGTAAATATTAAATATATCAGAACTTTCATTTGAATGATATTCAATTTGATTTTGATCAGCTTTTTACTTTTAGGACACTTCTCATTGTCTGTGTCTGTTTACTCCAACAGAAGGGTTTCATCTAGTACTCTTTAAGGTCGTCATTAGACCTATGGACCATTGTCAGACATACCTGGCTCATTTTTATCCAAGAAATAAAAAAATAATTTGTATTCTACATACTTTACAAAAATGGACCACTACAGTATCAGTTTCATGGATTAAGTGGATTATGTATTCATGTTCCCATATTTCTGACATTTCCTGAGGTGTTTAACACTTTTTCACAGTAGTTATCGGACACTGTAATAAGAACTGTAGACTGATAGTAATGTTAAAGCCATTGTGCACTACATTGTTGATTCCATTCTGATCTTGGATCAAGAATTCTCAACCTCCTGTTTCACTTGCTTCAGTTGAACTTAGTTGCCCTATCTTGTGTTTTACTGCTGTTGTTTCTTGTTCCCTTCTCCCAACATGGAGCAGGTAGTCCCTGTTTCATACTTCTCTGCTTAGGTTCCAAAGGTATGTGTCCTTTGTTTTCTTTCTTCATTTATTTTTTGCTGAATCTCGGGGTTCCTTTGTTGCATGACCCTCCTTCATCTGAATCTTTTCTTTAATTTTAGAGATCTTTTCTTTTTCTTACCTTTATACTTTCTCTCCACCTATTTATCTCAATTTCTTACACAACTTCTTTGTTCATTCTGTTGCTTCACCTTCATAAGGAGGCTTTTCGTCATGACTGTGTCAGCTTTATTTGGGCAACTTACACATAACTGTTTACCACTTTGGTCTTGATATCTGGTTTTCTTCCATTCTTGTCCAAGTTATCTTGATTTCTTCCTTTTTGTGATGTATTTTGTTAAGTTGCCTTACTTTCTGATTTTTTCCTGTCTGAGTCTCCTCTTGTGACCTCTGTCTTGCACCTTTTCTTTGGGATGTGTTTTTGGAGTATTTCTTGGTATTTTGATTTGATGCAGCTCTTCAGTAATCATCTCTGCTCATTTTATTTTTTTGCTCTTGGGACCAGGGTCCCCATAAACTTTCTCAATATATATACAGCTTTGTAGGGTCACCCCTCATCTGTTCCTTGTCCTTTTGTTGCTATCTATAGCCCCATCTTCGAGGGCTGATTGTCATGGGTCTTGGAGGTGATTGGTTTCTGGAGCCATCCCTTGGTTCCATTTCTATAGGAGCTCTTCTCTCCCACTTTGTCCACTAGTGGACTCCCTTTGCTATGGCCTATTGAGTTCTTCAGGTGCTTTCCTAGGAGTTTTTGCTGTACTTCACCTCGCCTGTTTCAAATGCCATGAGAAAATTCCTCTATCCCTCTCTGAGGTTCAGTCCTGTCCTTTTATCATTCCCACAAAGATGTAAAGTTTTTGATCAGATATCAATCTATCCCTCTTGACCTAATTTTGGTCTTTCCGATGGTCACTTTTTTTACTCTGTGGTGGATACTTTTCCCAGTGATGGGGTCTCAGAAACTTTCCTCACATCCTGGTTGGTCTGCATACCTTTTACTTTCTCTGGTTTATTCATAATGGTAAAAAATTTGGTTGTCACCCCTTCCTTTCATGTTGGCTGTGATATGGAGCTTTAGATACCAGGGTTTTTGCCTTGATCACAGGTCTGGATTGCTTCTCTCTGCACCTGATTATTGTGGTATCTCACATAAGTCATTCTCCTGTATGGAATGGCCTGACTTATAGCTTTGGTCACACTACACACTCATGCTCAGTTGCCCACATGTGAGATAATAGCTGATTGAACCTTACATTTCTGCCCAACATAGCATTACACTAACACCCTGCAAGAACCTCATGGCACTTTCTTAAGCTCTACTTCCTCTCCTGACAACTAATTCCTCAATAATATTGAGCGAAGAGTATTTCCTGCTTGAGACAGGTGTGTTTTTCTGCCCCACTAGGTTACTTCTCACCTCGTGGGTATTGTCTTTGTAATTTCTTCCTCTGCACCAGCCCCTCCATAATCTTAAATGTGGTTTTCTAGCACTTTGTGGCACAGAGAATAAAGTTTTAAAAGTTAACATTTACCTTACCTGAGAATGTATTTCATATTGATATGCACCTCTCTGCACCACTTTACACCATTTCTCCCCACTTCTGCTGTATCTAGTTTATTCATCAAACATTAGCCTGTGTTCAAATGTTAGTGCTTATGGGGATTACTGTGCATGGAAAGTGTGTTGTTGTTTTTATTGTTGGAAGGCTATAGTCTAATGATTATTACATCATAGACTGACATACACAGGGACTTACATGGCAGTGTGCACAAGCTAATAGCTGTTTGTGTTGTAGAGAGGTATCTATCTGAAATTCATTTTCATGTAACAGAAATATTGACTTTCAACACTCAGAAAGAATGAGCTCAATAAAAACAACTGCTTCTCTCAGCACTCAGGATATTTCTTTTTTAAATTCTTTTAGGTTTATGACAAGAAATTTTTTATATTCAGAGGGAGCTAAGTTAAAAGAAAAATGCATTTCAACACTCATAAAATGTTACCTATTTATATCTTTGTAGGGTTTATACCAGATGTTTTCTCATACTCAGCATGAGCTAAGCAAAAAGAAAAATGTTTTACAACACTCAGTGTTTCCCTTTTAATTTTTTGTAGTTTAATATGAGATATTTTCTTATATTCAGGGTGAGCTAAGTAAAGAAAACTACTTGTTTCAATACTCAGTAAGTGTTTCCTTTTTATATTTTTGTAGGTATATTACAAGATATTTTCTTATACTCAGGGTGAGCTAAGTAAAGAAAACTACTTGTTTCAATACTCAGTAAGTGTTTCCTTTTTATATTTTTCTACGTTTATTACAAGATATTTTCATATATTCCGGGTGAGCTAAATAAAGAAAATGGCTTGTTTCAACCCTCAGAATGTGATTTTGTTTTCTAAAAGAGCTAAATTACAAATACTAATTTTTCAATACTAAATTCTTGTAGGCTGATTACAAGATATTTTCTTATACGCAGGGTGAGCTAAATAAAGAATACGTTTTGTTTTAACACTAGAATTTAGTAGGTTATTGCAAGATATTTTTTCTTATACTGAGAGTAAACTAAATAAAATATAACTGCTTGTTTCAACACTCATAGCAATTCTTTTGCGAATTGTTGTAGCTCTATTACAAGATATTTTTTTATGCTTAGGTTGTTATAAATTTTACTACTGGCTTAAACACTTTGAAAGTTTTTCCTTTTAAAATTTTTATAGGTATATTATGTGATAATTTGTTATACTCGGGGGGCCCAGCATGGCCAGGTGATTAGGGAGATCGACTCGCAATCTGTAGGTCACAGGTTCGCTTCCCCGTCCCACCAAACCTGCTCACCCTTTGAGCTGTGGAGGCTTTATAATATGATGCTCAATCCCACTATTTGTTGGTAAACGAGTAGCCCAACAGTTGGCAATGGGTGGTTATGACTAGCTACCTTCCCTCTAGTCTTATGCTGCTAAATTAGGGATAGATAACCATCTTGTAGCTTTGTGTGAAATAAAAACAAAATAAAAAAAAAACTTGTTATACTCAAAGGAACTTTATAAAAATAAACGTGTTTCAACACATAGAATATGTTTCTATTTAAATCTTCTTATACTCAAAGTGAGCCAAGTAAAGAAAATACCTTGTTTCAACACTTAGAAAGCATTTCTTTTTTAAAATATTTGCAGGTCTACAAGATAATTTCTTATACTTAGGATTTCAACATTCAAAATCATTTATTTGTTTACATTTTTGTACATTTATAACAGTACAATTTCTTTTATACCGGGAGAACTAACTCAATAAAAACTGCGTGTTTCAACTCTCAGAAACTGCTTTCATTTCAAATTTATTGTAGTTTCACTAAAACATATTTTCTTATACTTATGATGAGATAAGTAAAGATACTGCTTGTTTGAATATTTTGGAGCTGTATTCTTTTTAAATCTTTGCAAGCTAAATAAAGAAAACTGCTTGGTTCAAGCATATATTTTTGTAGGTTTATTAAAAGTCATTTTGTTATACACAGGATGATTACATTAAAGAAATTGCGTGTTTGAACCCTAAGAAAGTGTTTCCTTTTTACATTTTTGTAGGTTCATTACAGGATATTTTCATATACTTAGGGTGAGTTAACTAGGGAAAACTACTTGTTTCAATGTTTAGAAAGTGTTTGGTTTTTAAAGCTTCTTAGGTTTAGTACAAAATAACACTCAGGGTAAACTGTATAAAGGAAAATCTCAGAAAATGTTTTTTTCTTTAATATTTTTATTACAAGATATTTTCTTACATTCAGTAAAGAAAACTCTGTTTCGACACTCATAAAGCATTTATTTTTTCAAGTTTTTATAGATTTCTTAAACAACATTTTCTTATGCTCAGGGTGATTTAAATAAAGAAACTACTTGTTTCAACATTTTGAAATTGTTTCATTTATAACTTTTCTTAGGTTTCATACAAGATATTTTCTCATACTGTGGGTGAGATAAGTAAAGAATACTGCTTGTCTAAATATTCAGGAACTATTTTCTTTTTAAATTTTTGTAGCATTACTACAGGATACTTTTTTACATGCAGGTTGAGCCAGAAAGTGAACTTCTTGTTTCAATATTTTAAATTTTTATATTACAAGATATTTTCTTATACTCTGGAGGCAGGGAGTTAGGTAAGAAAATGTGCTTGTATCAATGCTCAGAAAGTGTTTTGTTGTTAAATTTTCATAGGTTTAGTACAAGTAAAGAAAACTCCTTGTTTAAATACATTTCTTTTATATTTTTGTATGTTTATTAGAAGTTAATTTGTCATACTCAGGATGAGTTATGTGAAGAAATGTACAAGTGTTTTATTTAAATTCCTTTAGGGTTACAACATGATATGTTGAAATTCAATGACGAGGAACCCACTTTGAGACTAATAATGGTTGTAGATGGCTTGAATGGGTAATGAAGAAAAACTTTAATATAAGTTTAACATAACAGCAAATGTACAAAACCTTGTCGAAAAATTGTATATTTGCTGTTATGTTAAATTTATATTAAATTTTTTCTTCATTACCCATTCAAGCCATCTCCAAGCATTATTAACATGATATGTTCTTATACTAAGAGTTAGCTAAGTAAAGAGAAATGCTTATTTCAACTTTTGAAATATTTGTAGGTTTATTACGAGATACTTTTTTATACTCAGGATGAGCTAAATAAAGAAAAACTGGGTGTTTCAGTGCAATAAAGTAATCTAGATTACAGTTACCTTTACATACATGTTTACTTTAGTTTTCAACTGACATTGGTAACTATATATATACAGAGAGAGAAATATCCCAATGTTATAATTACTCCTCAGCCAACAGTGAGCCTATTTTGTATTTGTTCTATTACAGCAGCTTTCTATCAAACTTCTCACATATTTACTATGTTCATTATATTATTGTGTCACTTGTCCAGAGTGAACATCACTCGAGAAAGGAGTACTTGTACATAGCTGTTTACATGCATTTTTATTGTTTTACTTGCATATTATTTCTAATTATTCTATGCTAATTTATAACAATATATGTTTTGGTTATAAAAACTAGTAACTTTTGGTTATATTTTCTATTCTGTACCATAGAATTATTGTAGATTGTGCTTCATTGAAATTTTAAAGTTGATTTCCACAAAATTTTCTTGTCTTTTGGTCTCATCTCAACTGTTAAGTTTAGGTCTATATGGAAACATTGTAGAAAAAAAAGGATAAGCCTAGTACTAATATAATGCTAAAGACTTATTAATACTTACTTTAGAGAAAGCTTAGACAGTTGAGACTAAATTTGAAAGACTGCATGTGTTCACAAAGTTTTAAACAATGTTTCAAACTGTTAACATAGGTATTCACCTGATTCAGGTCTGAGCTAACTGTTTGAAACGTTGTGAAAAACTTTCTAGACAGATGTGGTCCATCAATAACTCATTTTTACATATTTAAACTATGTTTCAAGCTGTTAACATAGGTATTCACCTGATTCAGATCTGAGCTAACTGTTTGAAACGTTGTGAAAAACTTTCTAGACAGATGCGGTCCATCAATAACTCGTTTTTACATATTAGTGAATTTTATAAAACTGACTTGGTTAGTTTCATACTTTAAAATTTCTTTCACTAAATACTTGCACTTTACAACTAGAAACCTTATGTCATTTGTTGATTTTGTTATCTTTCAAGTGTGTTTTCATTACTTTTTGTGTATCTTTTCAGGTTTTCACTTAAGTGGAGTTGTGGTCACTCCCAAAACTTCCAGTAACACCACCTCAGGTTTTTCTTCAGAACCAGAAAGAAGACACAGGGTCTCCATTACCTTTGACAGGTAATAGGATGTGGTTTTCAGATAGTGTTTAGAGGTTTCCTTATAGAACTTTAATTTTTGTTAACATTATTGGGCTTGTAATTAAAAGCTATCCCAAATACTATTTTGTGATATATAATACTGCTGCCCCCTATTAGCTTTCATTTTATGTGTTCTAGTATTTTTCAAATAGTTTTAAAGCATTTTGGTCAAACTCATTGGGGTTTGATGTAAATTTAACAAAGTTACTTTTTGGAAGACAAAATGCTAAGATAATTCAAGGTAACATGAGTTTTACAAATTAGCTTTACTGTTTAGTTGAAATGGATATGTCAGAACCCATAAACATCAGGATATCAAGGAAGAGAAGATTCATTCTCTAGAGGATAAGTTATATGTAAATGGTGTCATTAATAAGAACATGGCCTTGCATGACCAGGTGGTTAGGGCACTCAACTTGCAATCTGAGGGTTGCGTGTTCGAATCCCTGTCCCACCAAACATGCTTGCCCTTTCAACCGTGGGGGCATTATAATGTTACGGTCAATCCCACTATCCGTTGGTAAAAGAGTAGCCCAAGAGTTGGCGGTGGGTGGTGGTGACTAGCTGCCTTCCCTCTAGTCTTTCACTGCTAAATTAGGGACGGCTAGTGCAGATAGCTCTCGTGTAGCTTTGCGCAAAATTCAAAACAATGAAAACAATAATAAGAACACCTGAATGAAAGTAAAGGAGAATGCATAATAATATGTCTGCTATATTCAATGCAAATTAGGCATTTTGTCCAATACCAGGGCTCTTCAGGCTGTTTGGGATACATAAACATAGTAGTGGTTGAGACACAATTAATAATATCAAATTGCATGGAAACAACTGTAATGGTGTGAAATGGATTAGTTGGTGAAATATAATATGATCAAGAGTTTTGGAAGATAACAAATTAATATTTTCTATTATTCAGATGGAGCTGGAGTATTGAAATATAACTCAAACTAATTTTTAAAAATGTGTTGCTCGCAGAACTAAAAGCTTCTGATGAAGGTGTTTTTTAGTTTTTGTATATTAGTTGTTGTTTTTTCTACAGGGTATCTGTATGACATACTGAACCTTTGATTTATAACTTCATTAAAATAGAAATAATATAAAAATTGTTCTTTACAGAAAACTATAAAAAGCTTTGAATTATCAGATTAAACTACATCTTCATTAGTAATACTACTTTATCTTATCTGATAGTGTAGTTAATTAGATCATAACATAATTAATGTGTCAGATCTGTTAACATTTTCATTATGGTATTAGGTAGCATAGTCAATTAAACCTTCATATCAGTGGAATGTAACTAATATGTCAGATCTATTACCACTTTCATTGGTATTAGGTAGCATAGTCAATTAAACCTTCATATCAGTGGAATGTAACTAATATGTCAGATCTATTACCATTTTCTTTATGGTATTGGAAAGTGTAGTTAATTAGATATTCATGTCATCAGAACATAACTAATGTGTCAGATCTGTCTCCACTTTCTTTATGGTATTTTAAAGTGTAGTTAATTAGATATTCATGTCATCAGAACATAACTGTGTCAGATCTGTCTCCACTTTCTTTATGGTGTAGCATATTGTAGTTAATTAGATCTTCATGTTATCAGGTCTTAACTAATGTGTCAGAACTGTTACCACTTTCTTTAGAAACAGTATTGATTAGTAATTGTTTAATTCTCTAGTTAATCTAGTGCTTATCATACAGCCTGATTAACGTTGTTGGATAATTATTTTTAAAATTTAATATGTTTTTAGTTTTAATCATCTAACTTGTTTACGATTATCTAACTATACAAGATATAAATAAAAATGTATAAATAGAAAAGTTAATTTTTATTATGAAGCTGAAAAATAAGTATATATGATAATAAAATTTGAGAAAAAATTCTGTTTTTCTATTTTAGTAGATTGTTATTTTATGTACTAAAACTTTGAAAATAATCTTTAAATCTGGAACAACTTTCTTATGTTTTGGACACTTGAGCGTATCTTGTTATTTTAGTTATTCTGAACTACTTTGTAGATCGTATGTCCTTATAACATTAATAAAGTTGCATAAAGGATAAGTATGATCGTAAGCAGTTGCTTTCGTACTGTGGTCAACTTTTCATATTTATGCATTACAATTTAGATTTTGGTGTCTTGCAGTGGATAAAGTGTTCTGTGTAATGAAGTTCCCATATCCTTATGTATCACAATAATATAACTTGAAATATATCTGAATATAAATACAGGCTTGTTTAACATTAATATTGCATATATACATATTTCAATAAGACCTTGGTCTGTGTTCATCAAGTACAAATAAAGATTAGATACATATACATTCAGTGCAAAATATCCACAGTAAATACATTTATTATAAAGTTTTAACTGTTTCTTTTTTTTATTGTACAGTATAAAATACACAATGTTCCTACTTACTCAGGCAATACATTTGATACATATCTAAATAATAACATTTGATACATACCTGAATAATAACACTTTATACATACCTGAGTAATAACACTTGATACATACCTGAGTAATAACACTTTATACATACCTGTGTAATAACACTTGATACATACCTGAGTAATAACACTTGATACATATCTGTGTAATAATACTTGATACATACCTGAGTAATAACACTTGATACATACCTGTGTAATAATACCTGATACATACCTGAGTAATAATACTTGATACATACCTGAGTAATAACACTTGATACATACCTGAATATATAACATGAAATACACCTATGTTTTATAGTGACCAGTTAGTTTAGTTCGTGAAGCAATAGTAATATTTTTATTTTCATTAAAATGATGGAACAACATCCTTATTCATTGTTAAAATCTAAATATTACTATGTATGTCTTGTTTCAGATGTAAGATTACCTCTGTGTCTTGTACCTGTGATGTAAAGGACATTTTTTGGTGTCAACATGTTGTTGCCCTTGTAATTTACCGAATGAGAAAAGCCACACTTGTGAAGTTGCGTGTTCCAATCTCAGGTAAGAATTTTGGAATATTTGCTAGCTATACTGTACTGATTTACTTAAAGACTACTGAACAACTATAAACTGAAAGATAGTAGGAAAACCACATTTCACTGGCTTGAATAAACTTATTTGAACAAATTTCATTGTATTCAGATTGCTTTTCTTTATAACACTGAAACCCATTGAAATTCAGATCTGAGCCTATCATCACTAAAAAAGTTAGCAGTTTTGCACAGTTAGTGGTCAAGTTTCAGCATATATTGTTATGGAAAACAATTTCAAAGTTTTTTAATTTTATTTGAGAGACTTTCGGAAAAGAAATAGCTCATCCAGAACAAAAGGCATCACGTTTTATGTCTCCTCATACGGTATTTCAAATACAGGACTGTAAAAATGTTTTTTGATGTACTAGCTAGCCCCAGACCAGTGGCCATAAAAAATATACTAGTCCAAACTGAAATTATATTTGCTCAACTATTTGTTTTTCACTATAATGATTGAATTACAGATTATGCAAATATATACATATCTTTATTAATTACAGTGCCATCTTTCAAAGTATTATTACCGCATAAGTAAAAACCTATGGTCAAATTAACCAGTCTTCGTATATGATATATTGGTATTCCTGACAATTGAAAATATAAAAAGTTCTGGGCATATATCTGGTCCATGCCACTGTACATATAGGATGAAATCTAAACAAGTAAGTACAGTCTGACATTCAGAACACTTTGCCCTTTTTCAGTCATTACTTGGACCTAGGAAAAAGGCCACCACAGAGTTCCGAGTCATTTCCCCAAACATAGCTGTTTCATCTCTTATCAATAAAACTTAAAATATAACTACTTAAATTGCTGCAAAAAAAAAAGTTTGAAAGCATTATAAATAATTAGGCTTATGGTGGATTAGCGTACAGACTACCAGTGTTACAAAAATTTCCGTGATAGTAAATATTTCGTAGTTTGTAAGATAAACTAAGAGGTACCATTTTTGTACATTTTAGTAATTGAAGAAAACATTGGATTTTACACATGCTTGCACACATTTCATGCAAGCAGAACCGTTAGCTTCAGGCTAGGAAGTAGGAAGTTTATGGTAAACCAAACTCAACATTTGGATTTTTACACCCCTGAAATATATTTTTTACCTCACCTTCCTTACTGCACCTCAATTTAACTTTATCTCAAACTGATTTATTATTACTTTTCCACAATTTAATGATAAAGTTTTTTTTTGTCCTGGAGGTTTACTTGTGACTTCTAGAAATTCTACATTGTGTTTACAGAAACGCTACTCCAGTTAGATCGGCAGCAGCTTCAGAAACTAGTGCAGTACCTTGTTGCCGAACATCACACAGAAGTCCTTCCAACAGCGCAGAGGTTAGCTGATGATATTCTACAGACACACTCTGTTATCAATTCCATCTCTGGTGAGTATGAATGCTTGCCTTTTAAGTAAAGTGTAAAATGTGCATGTAAGATTTTCATGAAGGTTTGGAAGTACTTTTGATCTTGGTTATTTGGAATAATTTAATATATATGTTAATACAAAAAGTAAAAAGCCAAAGTAGAACATATATTATCATTCTTTAAAACTGTTTCTTCATTCTTCACAAGATGTTTGCTTATTTCTTGTAATTTTGTAATATTTGTATTTCTGTGTACTTCTCTAGGTTGCCCTACAAGGTTTAAATTTATGTTACAATTTCAGGTACTTCTCATTTTAGTTTCTGTAGATTTAGTTTTAGGTTAACTGTGAGTGTTAGTTTGTGGTGTAATTTATTATTATTCTACACATAAAATATATATGTTCTTGAACTGTTATGTGAAATATATAAATGCTTTTTGTAATAAACTTTTAATATATGGTTTACTATGCATTACTCATGTAGCTAGGTTTAATATATGGTTTGTTACACATTACTTAGTTAGGGAGGTTATTTATGTGTATTACTTTGTAATAAACTTTTAATATATGGTTTACTATGCATTACTCATGTAGCTATGTTTAATATATGGTTTGTTACACATTACTTAGTTAGGGAGGTTATTTATGTGTATTACTTGCAAGATGTTAAGAGTGGTAAATCCTATTTATAAACTTTCTTTATTTCCAGGAGCACCTGACCCTACAGCTGGAGCCTCAGCCGATGAGGAGCATAGCTGGCATTTGGACGAGGAGCAGATAACAGAACAAGTCCACAATTACCTTTCTCAGGGAGGCTATTACAGTGCTAATAAGCAATTAAATGCACTGTTTGCCAAAGTAATTATTTACTCCTTAATTTGATTTTTTTTTGCTGAGTGTAAAAAAAAAAGATACTGATTAATGCAGTAGATTAGCTCTTTAGTGATTCTAAAATTAGTTTCGGATATGATATGTGACCTCTTCTCATATCTAGCTTTTCCTGATTCAGTGCTGCCCTCTATAAGCAAACTTTATTGTTTTGCACTAGCCATGAGGCTACCACCTAATCTTGCATGTTTCCATGTGATATTGCTGTATTGTTGCATGCAAATGAGCATGCAACACTCCACCAATCGAAGTTTGACTCTGCCTCCTAGCATAGCTGGCTCCCATATACTGGTCATTCAGTCATAACTTCACAATTTAACACTTGTATGTTAAGACGTGTCTTTTTTTTGCTCACATGAGATTTCTTAACATCAACATCTGGTTGAAGTATCTACAAAAACCAGCTGTTGTGGAAATATTTATTGTTTGTATTTTCAAACAGTTCTATCTCTTCACATTTTGTGGCTCTTATTTTCCACAACATGAATTACACAGAGACAGTCCTTTCCATGCTATCTGGTGTTGAACAACTGGATTTTATTAATTCAAGACAGGCTACTTTGGTGCTTCTTTGTCTGTCATGGGACTTGTGTGGTGGAGTCCTTGACCTTTTTCAGTCCATGACACAGACTTCTCCTATAATTCCTATCTGTGAAGACATGGATTTTAAGCAGTCTTTTCCAGCTGCCTGAATTGCAAACAATTCTTCTAGTGCAAAAGTGAATCGACTTCAACATTCTGCATCCTTCAGTGGCTTTTCTTCTCAATCATGTTACTATTTTTCACTCTATCCCATTTCTTATTATTCTTTACTTTCCCTTCTACAGAATATTATGTTTTCCTCCTTCCCTGATATCCAAGTCTATGCAGAAACTTTTTTTGTCTTAATTTCACTCTGGTGCCAGTATGACTCATCATCCTCAACTGGTTGCACAGATGCCTTGGCTTACAATCAAGTTGAAGCTCTTTTCTTGGACTCCCAAACTCTGAAGTCTCATCTTCAGGCTTGGAATTCTGTTCCATTGTTCTCTGTTCTCAAGCTCAGTTTTTTTGCCTTCACCTTATCCTCACTACACTGCATGTTATCTATCCTCCATTTCTCTTCTTTTGGAAGCAATCCATCATTCCTCCGAGGGATTTTTCAGTGGACACTCATTCCATTTTTTTTTATACATTCGCATGTTCTTCCTTGGACTTGTCCCTTCTTACTTGGTTACTCTATAACTGTGATTTGGAGGGGAAGAACACCCTTCTTGTCCAATTACATTTAACAATCTTTTATTTTGGGGACCTTCATCTGGCTCCTTTTTTCCACCATTGGATTTTTGGTGGGGTACCTGATTCTTTGTAGTCACACTCTGAGACCATGCACCTACATTGTTTCTTGACTTACCCATGTTTCCTGTCTTTATTAAGCTCCTTATCATCCAGTTGCTATCTCTCAACACCTCTCTGCTCCCTGTTTTTCCATCCTATTCCTATTCTCCCATCCATTCTTCCACTATTCCATAGGTTTGAGCACCAACATTCTTTGTTTTGGTGACTATCTTTTGGACTCAGGAACAGTGAGGGCCTGTTTGGCTTGATTTGTGAATCTATGGAATCCTTTTATAGCTGACCATTGTGGGTTACAAGTTCTATCCATTGGCTTTACCCTTAGTTTTTCTTCCCCTCCCTCTTGTCTCCTCTTCTCCATGGGATCCTGCTCCCACCAATGTCTTTCCAAGGTAGCGTTGTTAGGATGCTATCAAAAGGCTTTCTCACCCTTCTCCAGAATTTTATTCCCATCTGTTCGTCATTTTCTAGTACACTGATAATCATTCTGTCCTGCCTCTTTAAGTTTCTTGACCTTCCTCAAGTTACTGTGATGAATTGTCTTGCCCTCTGATGGTCCTTTTTTCTGGACCCTTGGATAACCAAGATTGATGTCTCTTTTGCTTATCTTCACATTTTCATCTTCCCAGCTTCCAGGCTTTATCATCAGTCTGTACATCATGGTTGAATTTATCAGTTTGAAGTTCTTGCTTTTGGCCTGATGTCAGCTCTTTAAATTTAGTGCATGCCTTTGATCATTATATTCATGGCATGGGATTGAGATTCCACCAATTTATGGATGACTGGCTTCTTTTATCCCCATCCCAGCAGGTCTCCTTCAACCATAGTCTTCTCCTTCAGAAGACAGCTTTTTCTTGTTGGGTAATCAAGTTTATGTCACAACCACACAGTTATCTATTTCATTTTGGTATCTTTTTCACTTCCCATCTCAGCAGACTACATCCTTCTCTACTGCATTTGTGTGCCATGGAGGGTTTTGTTTCCACAACAGTATTCTCTTCTTCTCTACCTGCAAAAGAGGTTCTCTATCTATTGGAAATTTTGGCTTCCTTGGAACCCCTTATCGCCTTTGGCTGTGCTCACATGCATGTTTTACTGTGAACTGTACATGATCATTGGAACCCCTCACAGAATCCATTTTCCAGAGTGGTCCCTCAGTCCTCATGTTTTTCAGTGCATTTGCTCTTAGTGTCTTTGGTACTTACAACAATGCCAAGCTTCCCCTATTCAGGTCTCCTGTTCTGCATTCATCAGCACTGGCAGTGGATGCATTTAGTCAGGAATGGTCTGATCTCTTCCTTTGTGCTTACCCCCCCTATTCATCCTCTCACTCATTAGGGACACTCCTTGTCAGTAGTACCCTGTTGATTTTCCCAATCATGGTTTCCTCAGTTGAGCCATCTGACTTCCTCCCCTCCTCTTCAACTCCCTTCTTCTTCAGCCTTGTAATTCTCTCTTCCATTTAGTCATGTCATCACTCTGGCTTCACGTGTTGAATTTGTTCGGTTCCTTGTAGTGTGGTCGGGACTCTCTTCATGTGTAGCCTTCTTCCTGTCCAGTTCTGTTTGCCCACCCTCCTTAGGAGTTTATTAGTGCAAGTGGTGTATTTACCACCACTTGTCTCAATGTCGATCCTTCTCACCTTCCATCATTCCATCCCCATTGATCTGTGTTCTTCACATGGGTTTTTGACCAGGGCTGGTCTATCTTGACTATTGCTGGTTACCAGGCAGCTCTCTTGACTACTTTCTAGTTTTCCCATTATGTCCAGTTTTTTCCTCTTGAGCCCTCTGCATTCTTCTAGCCTACCTGACTTGGTCCTTAATGTTTTTCTCCATCCATTTACCATACCTCTCTTCGAACCTTTGGCTTCCTGTTCCTTATACCATCTATCCCTTAAAACTTATTTCATCTTCCATTTTTATCTGTGGTTGTTGGTGTTCTGATATGTTTGCTATCGACTCTTTTCACACCCTCTTCCATTGCTTCTGTATCCTTCTCTTTCTGGGTCACACTTTTCTCTCTAAAACATCTGCAACATTTAAGATGATAATGCATTCACCCACATATCTCTTCCTTCCATTCTCATCTTTATTCCCATTCAGGTCCTGATCATCTTTAATGTCTTGTTCATGTGGTCTGTTGTTATTTGGGTCACACTTGTTTTTTCCATGGTTCCCAATCCCATCCCTAGAATACTTCATCCACTCACAATCTTTCACCTATTACTCTTACTGGATGAGTCTGACAGCTTATCCATTTAGCATATTCTTCATTGGATAGAGAAGCATGTCAGCATTTCCAGGTGTCCTCTCAGCAAATTTGTCACTGAGCTCTCTCATTAGTTGGTCAATTCCTTTGTCTGTTGAAGAAGATTGGGCTGGCATGTGGAAGACCCCTCACATCATCTGGCCATTTCTTCTTCGTCAAGATATGGACTGTCTCCAATTGCTGTTCTTCACTCATCATACTGTCTCTGACTGGATAAGTCTTTTTTTTTTTACCTTCTTTTTACAGAGCTTTCTAGTCATTTACATGATCCTGCTCAGTGGCAAATGTTGCCTGCCGGGTCATGCTTATCCAAAATCTGCACAGTTTAGGCAGTCCAGGAGATGGGGGTGTTTTACAAGACTGCTCAAGGTATCTTCATGGTGCTCATTTTCCTAAACAAAGCACAGTCCAGACCATACCCACTCATGGACTAGTATGAGTAAAGCAGGCAAGGAATTCCTGCCCATCCTCCATTCCTAGATGAAAACCTAGTGCTGGCCTGCTTTTAAAACTATAGTTTTTGTGGTCATTTGTTGCACTGTATTATGGTGGTATACTCCCCTGAACTCCCCAAAGTGCTTTCATCCCAGTGCTTTCTCCTAGTGGAGTATGGGAGCCCTTGCTACTCACCAATTCCTAACCTTTGGGGTGGTGGACCACAGAGGATGCCTCCTGAGTGACCATTTCCACTTAATAGAGAGTAGGGTAGTGGTGCTTTGTCCAAGTAGTACAGTTTACTCCTCTGACCAGCTTTTCCCCCCACCTTATCACTACCTGGAAGTCATCTCTGCTAACACTTCCACCCGCTTCTGTTGCATCTTAAGTTTTGCCTAATCTCAAAGTGATGACTGAACAATCAGTATAGAGGAAGCCAACTATACCAGGAGGCAGTGTCGCACTCCTATAGGTGGAGGGTTATTACATGCTCATTTGTATGCAACAATACAGCAATATCATATGGAAGTATGAGAGATTAGTTGTGAGCCTCAAGGCTAGTGGCGAACAAAAAGTTTGCATATAAAGGGCAGCACTGAATCAGAAAAGTTAGATGTGAGTATTTATTGGAAATACATTTTCAGTGTTTGAAAATGTTAACTTTTTATAAGACTTTCTTACCACATGATAAAAAATATACATATGTTTGGGGTGTGTAGTTATATAACAAAATATTCAATTCAAGTATACATCTTACAATTAGAAAACATACTCAATAAAAGGAGTAATGGCCAATTAATGTTCTGATTTGGTTAGTTGTAATATTATCAGTTTACTACTCTAGCAGTGCATTGTGATTTATCTCTACTAGCTATTATTGCTTATTGCAGTGTGTAATTCCTTATGTAGCATATAGAATTATTGATGTTTTGCAACTGCAATGTGTAGCACAAAAAATATTTGTTTTTGTATACTGGTCTGTCATAGTTAATTCTGACAGACAGCAAACTGTTTTTGAGTGCTTGGGTATTTGAAATAAAATAGATGATAAAACTTTACATGATCATCAATTTTGCCCAAAATATTCAATATAACAGATATAACCAGCTTCATTGATTTGGGTAAGCGAACGGGGATCAATTTCTGTATAAAAATCAAACTGATTAAAGTTCAGATAAACATCATCAAACAGTTTAATCACTCCATATTTTAAGTTGGACTTCACTACTGCTGTATAAATGCTTGTTTGCTTTAGAAATGTATGAAAATGGGAATATACATTACATATTTTTAAGTGGGGAAGACTTTTAAAGATAATCCTTATAGTGTGAAGGATTTAAGTTCCTTCTTTATGAATGCATTCACTTGTAGTTCATATTAAAAAAAATATATTTAATAAATACTACTTTTCTCTTAATCTACTAGGTCAAGGAGATGTTGCGGGCTAGAGACTCTAATGGTGCCAGAATGCTGCGATTAATCACAGAGCAGTTTCTGGCTGACCCCAGGTTAGTCATCTGGAAAGCCCAGGGAACACCAATGATGGACAAGTGTCGTCAGCTGTGGGATCAGTTAGGTAAACATTTTTGTAAGAAGATAAGCCTAATTGATCCATAATTTTTAGTAGTATACAAAATTGTTAAGTTATTTCATGAGTTCAGGAATATATTGTAGTGAAATTTAATTCATCTTTCACTTCCAGTATTTTACAAATATGGATCACTGTTAGTTTACATTGTTACATTCACCTGCTGTCGGTACACCCTGAAACAAACTTCAGATTGTATTACCAAGGCCTATGCAAGCCTTGAATTATTTATTTGAGCTCAAGCTATCATTTGGAAAAAATTGGGAGAATACTTAAAATCCTTTAAAGTAATTAAAATATTAAATTTGGTAACAGTACTCAAAATGGTGAAAATAAATTTACACGGTACTCATGAAGTAATACGAGGAGTTCACATCTAAGTCTTTATCTGTGGTAATACTGTTTAAAAAATAATTACACTGTAACAGGAATATTATGTAGTTTTAGTCAACTTTATGTATCCATTTTGGAAATACTAATTAATAATGATAATAAATAATACTATAAAAATTAGTTTAGTAAACTTTACACTGAAACAAAAAGGTGAATAAATGTAAAGTAAAAACATTATCAAATTTATGCATCTGAATGATTTGGCCAGTATTTAGATGTTACGACTAGGGGGGGTGGGGTGGATAAACATAGTAACAGCTATTTGTATTGTTCAGTTTTATTGAATATCTACATAATGGATAAATTATTGTGAATTTAATTAATCACTTAACATTCTCTGAATAAAGATATCAACAAAGGGAGAATGTACGATATTTAACAAGAGAATTTTTTCTATAATTGAAGGTTAATTTGAGCTGTTCAAATTGAGATAAAAGTTCTCTTGCTTTCTAATATAAATAAGAAAACAGCAAATACGGACAGGGCTCAAAATAATGATATTTGACAAATATGGACAGGGCTCAAAATAATGACATTTAGCAAATACTGACAGGGCTCAAAATAATGACATTTAACAAATATGGACAGGGCTCAAAATAATGACATTTAACAAATATGGACAGGGCTCAAAATAATGACATTTAACAAATATGGACAGGGCTCAAAATAATGACATTTAACAAATATGGACAGGGCTCAAAATAATGACATTTAACAAATACGGACAGGGCTCAAAATAATGACATTTAAGAATATTTGTCACAACTTTGTATTTGCATAAGATTAGAGCTTGGCATAAGTGAACTACAGATTAACAGTATAGGTGATGTATATGTCATAGGGAGGAAACAGCATACAAAATATAGTTACTTATTAATTGAAATTGCTTCAAAATGATTTTTTTTATTTTTCCAGAAACTTCCTCTTCCCACCCTTTCACAAACTTACATTTGCTTAACAAGTGCTTGAAAGTTTGAGCCAGATTTTTTACAGTTAAGCTGAGGTTCATCTTTAACTGGAACTTAGGTGTATCAGCACAAAGTCAACTATATAGAAAAGGTCTTTCTAATGAAGTACTTAACAACTGATAAATTAGAAATACCATTGGTTTATTGTATTCATAGAAGTGTTTAAAGCGCAGTCTTACACTTCCTAGTTAGCTTTTCAAACTATCAGAGTACTATTTAGAACTCTTTCGAATTAGGTATTCAGATAAGTGCCTTGATTAAATCATTTTTAAATTTGTATATATACACATATCTTGTTGCATTGTGAATTTTCTCTTGGGAATAAGCCAGAATGTTTTTGTTTTTTTAATTACAGCAACTATATATTTTTTTAGAAATTTTTATTTAAAATTAGTGTTAATGAATAGTATGATCGGTAAAGAAAACAAAAAGTACTTGATTTCAGAGGCTTGTAGTTCATATGTGATCTTAAGTAAACTTATTAGCCTATAAAGATACCAGAATCTAACTTAGTTTACATTGACTAGTTAGTCCCTTAAATGTTTTCGTTCAGTATTAACTTGTCGTAAAAGCTGTGCTACATTTTCTGTTCTCCCAGCTGCTCATTTTAAAGAGAAATTTTATTTTAAAATACTTTATGTTACACATGGTATTCTTCATTATAATCGCAGAGTAGTCAAGATAAAACAGAAAAGACGTAAAAGAGTATGATGTACTTTTTTAGGGTATTTTATTGTGTCTTCATATTGCACTCTTCAGGGGAGCTGACGTACAACTCAATATATGAATGCTGTTTAAAAGTCAAATGTTTGTAAAGTATTGAATGAAAACATATTTCTGATTTAAATATTTTTAACTTAATTATGAAAGAAACAACTTAATATACTTAAAGTAAATTATTTTATGTTATTATTTTGATAAATTTCTGTTGATAAGAGGATGATAAAGTGGTAGATCTGCTTTAGTTTTAGCCTATTTTCATCATCAGATGTGTTTTCACTATCAGTAATACTTTTCAAATTATTATTTTTCTTCTTTTCTTTTGTAGTTACATAAATCTTCTTAAAATCTCCATCATTTCTGAAATTATATATTTTTTTCTATAAATTTAGGTAGTGGAGAAAAAGAGTATTATTATGTTTTGGTTTTGTTTTCAGAAACTTATTTTTCTCAATCTTATATTGTAGTACTTTGCAAGTTCATGAACTTCGGTGTTATTTTTATAGGTGCATTGTGGGTGTGCGTGGTTCTTAACCCTCATTCTAACCAGATCGATAAGCAACAGTGGCGCACCCTTCTGGAAAAGTGGGCTACCACTCAAGTGTGTCCTCTAGAAGATGCAGACTTTCGGCCACCAGGAGGAAGTGGACAAGCAAGGAGACCTCACGAAGATGACAGTTTCTCCAATTCTTCTGATGATGAATCAAATGGTATGATAAATAGTTTACTGTTATTGTTTTATTTTGTATAATTGGTTTACACAGTTGTCATATTTGTGTTAAGTCTCAATAAAGTAAACTAAATCGAAATAACAATATGTATAATAAATGAAAATATAATGAGTTTTATGATCTTGCTCATAATACCTATTTCTTATTTGCTTCATAAAGGTTATTGACTCGGGGTATCCTACGATATTTGCTGTAATCTTTACGCCGAACAGAGAACAGGGTTCCTAAGAGCTCTTGAAATCCTTGAAAGCATATCTTATTCAAAGTTGATATTTCAAGGGATTTTAAGTATTTAATTTTGCCCAAAGTTCTTAAATTTAGCTCTAGAGGTAGAGTTTTATAATCAAGTACACAAATACATCGAAACAAATAAATTGTAAATGTTCATTTGCTTTGTTGTGCAGTTGAACTCATCTACTTGTATATTGGACTGTATCTAACCACTTAATTAAGTTCTTCCTATGGTTGTCATCATATGCTCATCGAGAAACGTTTAAAGCATATTAATCAAAATAGTTATTGTGCCATCAGTGGTATTTGCTGTGTAGCAAAAAAATAATTTCTGGATTTACAGTAGTACCAACTAAAATTAGCTTCTCAATTATATTTTGAGAAACAAAATAATTTTAAGCTATATTATGAAATGTTTTTTTTGAATGGTAACTAGAATGAAACAATAACAACAACAGGTCTGTATGAAAAATGTGTATCACTAATATTAATTGTTTATAGTAATACATCCATTTATACCATACAATAGATTGGTGCAATTTAATAAAAGTATCATACTTTTAACCTGGTTTGATGTTTAAGAATGAATTTATGATATATTATTTTTGCCTGTTAGCACTAAAAAAGTTATTTTGCTTTGAATGCTACATTGTACAAGGCCATATCTACTACCTGTATAGTAGCTGGCATCTCATTAGGCCTAAGTCGTGAAGGAAGGACTGCTTGGTGAATGACAAATTTGTACCTGTCATCAACTCATGTATGTTATGTACCTGTTTTTACTGAAACTGAAGGAAAGATTAATTTTATAAAGTAAACTGTTTACTATTTTATGCTTTATCAGAGAAGAAGATTAAATTTGTATTTTTATCATGATTATTATATTTATTTTCAATAATGCAAGTGTAAAACCTAACTTTTTTAGTTAGCTAAGTTTGAATAGGCAGCCAGAATTTATAAGAAACTTTTCCTGAATGTAGTCAGAGAAAAGACATCAGTTTATTTTAGCTAAGACTTTTTTTTAATTACCTTACTTGAAGAATTATTGGTGACTGGTAGTCAGTGGTTTTAACAAAATCACAGTTGTGAATTTTCACTTATTTACAAGTCTTAATTAAATTGACTGGTTTAAACGTATTAAAGATTTTCTTCACTTTAAAGACATGTGAACTTTGCATTTCAATCCATTGTTCTTATTTTTTCCATTTTAAAATAGTAGAAATATATATATTAATTTCAACACAACAATTGTGTTTCTTTCTACTAACACAGTTTTTGTAGACAGAAAATACAAAAATATTATAGTATCAGGTTGAGTGTGTAACTAAACTATGAGCTGAGTATGCTTGTTAATAGTAAAAAAAAAACTAGATGAACATAAAGTTATTCCAAATGGATCCATCATATAAGTAGTTTAGTAAACATGGAAAAATGGAATAAGAAAGAACAAGATTTTTTATAGTATTTGTCTTTCTTTACAGTAGAAACATATTTTCTTTTTTCCTCCATTTTTAGTGTTGTTACGTCTCTAGTCGTTTGTTAATTTCCCAGTATAAATTCTTTCCGAGGAACTTCAGCGATACAAGTCCTTTTTTTAAATAAAACTAGTTTATTCTTTCTCAATACAACTTTGCAATACACTTAATTTCCGCAATCACTTTAACTTAAACACACACTATAATTCACAACGATTCAGGCACTTCACTTACGACTTGACTCGATTATCTGTCTCTATATCTTCTTATCTACAATTATCTATGCCGTCTCTTCTCCTCTTCGCTTTATTTGCCGGGCTTATATACTAAAATAGAAGCCACGTAGAAAAGACTAGAGTTGCCTTCATGATCCTTCTAGAAACTCGTGACGTGTTACCAGCGTCACGTGACTTCCGCTGTCTTAACAGATTGTATACAGTAGTTTCAAAAAAATAACTGTTCTGAATTAGAAATTAAATAACTCTGATATAAATCAAGGAAATTCTTAGGTTTCTTTAATTATGTCTGTTCTTTTTATTCAAGTTCCAATAATCTTAGGATTAGTTTTATTTCTATCATATTTAATATTTTGGAACAAGCTGTATGTTTTATCTTCACGTGTAAATAGTACAAGAAGTGCTTCCCTCCCCATTTATAAAGTTATATATTAATGGGTCACCAGTTTTATATGATTTTCTGTACTCTTAATACTCAATAATTTCTGTGAATAACATTCCAATTCCTTATAATTTAGCTCATACTATCATAGGTTCCCATAAATTCACAAGTTTAAATTCCTTTGAGTAATAAACTATTGTTAGGCAGTTCATAACTTGTTTCCATATCTCTTATTCGTCTTTTTGTAATTATTAATACAGGTAATTAGATCATGTGAAAATCATATTAAAATTATTTATAACCATATAGCTATTAAAATTGTTTATAAACCATAATAATTTCTTTGTAATACTCTATAACAGTGGTAGTGAGCTATTAATGAAATAGTTAGAACATGGTTCTTTATTTGTTTTCAGAATTACCTCAGGGTGAATGCCCAATTGCCTTCAGTATTACAACTCAACCTCAACCTCGTACAATTTTTCATCGAGCTCTAGAAGCAAGTCATCTTCAATGGGACGACCTCCACCTAAAACATATTATTGCACATGATGGTGTCACTCACTGTACAGAACCATCTTCATCTGCTTCCTTCAACTGTCAGGGTTATCCACTGTGGCATGGTAAGATTTAATCTGTCTTTTTTCAACTGTCAGGGTTATCTACTGTGGCATGGTAAGATTTAATCTGTCTTTTTTCAACTGTCAGGGTTATCTACTGTGGCATGGTA